TAGGCCTATATATACTCGTATATATAAATATTTACTGTATATAATGTAAGGACAATTGAAAACGAATATTATTTTTAAAGCGCTGTTTTTCAGTTGAAACTTTATAGCTTATTGAATTATACAAGTTATTACATTTTTTTGTTATTTTTTTTAGTATATTTTAAAGACATAATGGTAAGAACTTACTAAGGACGTACATCAACTTCTGCGACAGCCTCCTGCCCCATTGCGAACCATCTGATCTTGTCAACAGCAATATAAACTGAAGTTAGATAAATTAATGAAACTAAGGTAGAGAAGTTAAGTATCTAGTTGTTATCTAAATAGTTTATTCTATCTATACATGGCTGTTTCAGCTATTATAGATTTTTCTACTACTTCTATTGAAGCATTTTCTGAGAGAGACGAGAGAAAATTCAATGATCTCAATGATTGTCATCAGGCTCATTCCGCATAGCAGTCCCATCAAACCGCCAATGTCACCTGTAGATTAAATAAAAATAGGTATACGTGTATTATGTTCCATCAAGACGAACAGTCATAATACCAAAAATAACATAAGAATAACAATAACATTAACACCAACAGCAATAAAATTAACATTAACAGTAAAATCAACAATATCGATAATGATGATGATGATGATAATGGGAATAATAATACTAAAATATAACAAACACACGTTATTAATATGCTCACATAACTATGTATAATCTTACAAAGAAGTTTTGTTGATGTATATGCCGGAACTTGTTCAACAACTTCGTAACTCAGATCTTCGTAAAATAAATATACGTCGAGATAATTCTTCCTGAAAGACATGAGACCACATTATTATTTTTCTCATACTCTTATTATAATATGTTTATAAACACCAATTAGACTTATATATTATAGATTAGATTATATTCTGATTAAAGTGCCATAGTCCACAGACGTTTCTTAAAATTGTATTATGTCTGAAGTGGCCCAAAATTAATTAAAATGGAAATATGTATTACAGAGTTTGTAAATGTAAGGTATGAAGGACGTAGGAGATATTGAATTAATCTACTTTGTATTATTAAGGATTATATTAAGTACTGTAGTTCTTGATTATGTCTATTACTGTATCCAGTATACATAAGACTTAAGATAAGCTCAGGTCCACAAGAAACTGAAAGGAACTCAACTCAACTCAACTGGTCGACATGAGTGCTCCGCGCAACTGAAAGTAACTGAACGCAACTGTCGAACGCGAATGTGGCAACTGAAAGGAACTTGACTTATGTCGACCGGCAACTGAAGGGAACTGTTCGTAAGTTACCTTTGTACGGCGCGAAATTTCATCAACTGCAAATACATACTGTTTGTATTAAAACGTGTAGTTAATAAAATACTCTATAATATTATTTTTGAAGTTTATCTACTTGTTTTTTTTTATCTTAACAATTCAATTGAACAATACCTCTTCAAGATTCCTTTGCACACACAGACAGCATTCTTGTAGAAAGTACGTCGGCTCTATCATATTTAAAACATTAATACTGATCAAATGATGCCAACCGTTATTTTGAAAAAACAGAAAGATTTTTTAAAAAGATGAGGGGCGGACGTCTGTTTTCAGTTTATAAACACAATTAAATCAACACATTTTTTTACTCGTATTGTAGTTATTTTCTTGAAAGAATTGCTGACCCGAAAAGCTAAGATAGGTGGGCCTACAATTTACAATGCCTACCGTACAGTATGTAATAACCCACTACTCAAAAAATAGTAGCCCACCCACAAAAAAATAATCAAAGAATAGTAACACAGGGTGATTTTTAGACGTTTTACGGTATTTAATGATTATACACGTGACTGCATTATTTACGTGACCATTGTTTACATGAATCAGCTGTCAAATAAAATGTTACAAAGTATTGACAATGAACAGTTAACCGTTCCCTGTATTGCACGAACGTGCGCATTCGATACCACTTATACATGAAACTGGAAGACGCCTAGATTATGCTCCATTTGTTACAATATTTCCACGAAACGTAACTTCAGAAGTACTGTTATTGAATTATTTAAAGTTGTAAAATTAGGACTTAGGAAGCTGTGTTAATTTACTTTACTTGCATGCCAATTATTTTAACTCCACGACCCTAACTAAATATTATTATTGTATTGTTTTTAAATTGTTTCAATTTAATATTATGTGTATGATAATGGCCCTATATTAATTGATGGTGTAGGTTCACGTCCTGCATATGCCTATACCATGTGTTAATATTTTTATTGTACTATGTGCCTTTAGTTTGTCCTTTTATTTTTAAATACCTAGCCAAGGAGACTTAGCATGATCAGTCATTATCCAACAAAGCACTATGTAATTTTCCTTTTTTTCAGTTAATGCATGTTCTAATCAGGATCAACGTTTTTTTTTTGTTTTTGTTTTTTTATTTCAGTTCTGTTTAGTTCGGAATCAATATTTTTCGCGCTTTTTTTTAGTTCTGCAAAAAGTGTAACATTGGCAACTGAAAAGAACTCAACTCAACTCAACTTGACTCATGTCGACAAATTTGTGTGACTGTCAGTTCATTTTATTTGCGGTTGCGTTCTTCTGAGTCCAGCGCTCATGTCGACAGTTGAGTTGAGTTAAGTTGATTTCCGTGTCGACATGAGCTTGCCTTCAAACCACAATTTTACTCATTATATTTCAAACTATAATTTTGAAAGTATATACTTATAATAGCCCTTTTCCTTTCCTGCTTCAATCGCAATGCAATTATGGTCCTTAATTTGATTAGCCTATTAAATTTAATAGGCTTATGTTTTTCTAAATACATTGTTAAAAAGATAATCCTTACTTTATAAACACTGCCGAATGATTAGTAACATGTTTAAGGTGCGAAATTATGTGATCTCCGGGCCACAAAGCAGATGATAATTTAGTGACGTAATTGACATAGTGACACGCAGTGCGACAATTGCAATTTGTTTGATTGTGCAACAGATTTTCTGAAAATTAAATAAAAATTAATAGAAATTTATAGCAACGATATTGGACTAGAAAAAAACCGTATAAAAGAGGTTGATAACAAGAATTAGAAACAAACCACTTCAGTGGTGATGAAATGGATTTCGATTCATTTCATGTCAATTGAAAAAAAATATCCCAACATTTTAACTTCCTATTTATGGCAGACTAGGTGTAAAGCAACAAATGAGTAATGCAACGGGACTCAACCCTGACAGAAAAACAAAACGGGTGAACAGTTTGATTAAGGAAACTAAGAAGGGCAAAGAAAACCAGCACAATACAGAAATCAGAAAAAAAAAAGGAGTAATCAGAAATAAAACAAAGAAAACCGAGATAAGAAAAAATAAATACCGTATATGAAAAGATAGGCAGGATAGTGAAGGAAACAGAAATGAAGAAAGAGGAGAAACTAAATAATAAAGATGGAAACAGAAACCAAAAAAATCAAAACGGAACGGTGCAATGGATATACGACACACAAGGAAAACATGCTGAGAAGAAATTGGGTAAACATGAAAAGAGTAACGCCGTGGCTAAAATTAAATCAGAAAAATACATTGTTAATGTGAATTGGTTTCGGAGATTATATAAGGAGATTAAAATTTTAAAACAATGGACAAGACATAGTGTCAGGTAGGACTAAAATCCCTCGATGCCCTTTTGGAGGGATGTTTACAATGTTGAAGTAGCTCAAACAAGAAGAGGCTTCGTAACATGTTAATGTGGAGTATGGGTACATCGGTTGTGGCAATACACAAAAAGATTAGAAATTATAAAAGCATGTTGAGATAACAGAAAAATGAAAGTTATAACGCTGTCGAAAAACTGTCGAAACGGAAGACACCGTTTTGGAATCAAAGCGGCATGTCCCTTTAAATAGTAATACGAGTATTAGGTGGAAGGATTATAGCAGGGCTGTTGAAAGTACGTTACAATTACGTTCCCTACTTAAAAATTTACCTACCTGCTTTTGGCATCACGCATTCGATCGTCTCGTCTACTGTGCAGTTCCTCTGACTCTGGTGTCCTAATTATCAAATATTATGATAAGCATTTGTTATTACAAATATAAGATACCAACCATTACCAAATTTATTTGTAATTACATTCGAAATTATAGTTATCATCAGCATCATCATTGTCATTTTCATGGCCGGTGGAACCGGGGGCCACTTTTTGGCAGAAAACATATAGGCCTAATGTCTATGGAGATTTTTGTATCATCGGAATGAAATGCAAGAAAAGAAAGAGGGAAGAAGGAGAAGAGGCAGGGGAAAGAGAGTGTTTATCCAGACCCCGACCGAGTTTGATTTCTCGCAATTCACATTGGCGGATCTGGGAAATCAGGAGTTCCCCCCCCCCACCACCCCTTCCTTGGGCAAAAAAATTAAAATAGTAATTAAAAAAAAGGAATTCTAGACCCACCTTTTTCAAGACCGGTAAGCTGAATATTGTTTTTGTTTTGATTCATGGAATCGCTTTCAAGAGGGGAAAACCTTTAAATTTGAAGAATTTCAAAGTCATTAAAAGACACCTTTTAGATGTCAGAAAAGCCCATTTCCCGCCATCTAGATATCAGCATTTTCCCCGGGGGGTTGGGCTCCCGGACTCATGGATCTGTTCGTGGATAAAAGAATACGTATGCAACTACTTATTTGTTTATGTAATGTATACACACATAAAATTACAAAAATTTACCTAAACCGTTTTCAAGAGGGGAAAGCCTTGGATTTTGAAGAACTTAAAACATTAACACTTATATAACGCACAATATACACCGTAATCAGCAGCGCTTTACATGGCAAGTTTAATTTATTTTAATTTTATTTAGTTATTTATTTATTTATTTTTTATTTATTTTGTTTTGGTTAATAACCATAACATTGCTGAAAGTAGAATGTCTTCAGCTTGCTTTTAAATTGTGTGTAGTTGTCCAAACCTCGAATTTCATTGGGCAAATTGTTCCAGATTTTGGGTCCGGCCACAGAGAACGAACGGTCTGCAAATATCTTCGGTCTGGTACGTGGGATTGTCAGATTGAGATCACTGACGCTTGAGCGAGTACTACGAGCTACATTTCGCACGGTGAGTAAATCTGCGAGTTAAGCTGGTGCAGTACCGTTAAGAGAACACCATACCAGGCTTGCAATTTTGAATTGACATCTATGAGACATCGGGAGCCAGTGCAAAGATCGTATAGCATTTGTTGCACTGTCATACAGACCTTTTTTCAAGAATTATTTTTGCAGCTTGGTGCAGTAACTTTTGCATCGGAGCATTGACATAGTCAAGATGAGACAGCACGAGCGATTACTCTTGACAAAGACCTTTGGAAAGAAATTTGCGAATTTGGCGAATATAATACAGGTTTACCGAAACCGTTTTGCATTTATCTCGTATTTGGTTCTTAAGTAATAACTGGTCATCAAAATTAACACCTAGGTATTTTAGTGATGATCCACGTGGAATTCTATCTTGGCATACAATGATATGATCAATGTCGCATTTCAGAAGTTGAGCTCTGCTTTCAACCAATATAAATTCCGTTTTCTCACTGTTCATTTTGAGTCTGTTGGCCTTCATCCAGTCATTGATATATAAAAGGCATGTCTGCAATTTGGTGATGTTATTTTCCAGACTCAAGCTAGAATTTAGATTGAACGAATCATATACCGAATGATCATCAGCATATCCCATCATAGAGATGTCAAAATTTTTTATATGATCTTGTAAAGTGCTGGCATATATAGTATAGAGAACCGGTCCGCATATACTACCCTGAGGTACCGAGCATGACAAGCTGGCCATCTCCGAGTTTGTTCCGTCAATTTGTACATTCGTACAAATTGGCCTTTGGCCGATAATTACCTTCGAGGACGAAGGTAATTATCGAACCAGTTCAATGCTACATTAGCCACCCCAAATTTGTTCTGCAAAACGTCGAGGAGGACTATACACACCTCAATTCCGATACTTTTTGCTGTTCCATACTCCAGAGAACATCATTTGTTAACTTAACCAAAGCTGTCTCTGTGCTAATTCCTTTCTGATAAACAGATTGGTACCCCGGTAATAGGGTGTTGTTCTCGACATAAGCCAATAATTGGTCCAGGCATGCACGCTCAACCAGCTTTGACATGAAGAATAGGTTTCTAACAGGCCTACAGTTCTTGAGAATACATTCAAGACCCTTCTTTTTTATAAGCGGTTCTATTACTGATGATCTGTGAGCAAACACGCCGTTACACAATGAGATGTTGATCATCCTTGTAATAAGCGGTAGCAGTGTATCCAGATGTTGTTTCACTAGAGTGGACGGGAAAGGATCATTCGATCAAGTTGTTGTTTTTGTACTTAGAATCCACTTTTGAACATCATTTTCGCTAACCTCTTGGAATGTAATAATTCATCTGTCAATAACCGTTCTTGTTTATACATAAGGAATTGTTCTAACTCCTCTCGAATTTTTTCTATTTTGGTCATAAAGAAAAAGATGAAGTCATCTGCTAACTGTTTATCAGTTTCATGTGGTGGAAGTGGGTTATATTTTCGTCTACCAATGAGATCAAAAACGAGTTTGTAGAGCTTTTTGGAATTGTTGCCAGCGTCCTTGATTGCACCATTAATAAATGTGTGCTTGGCTAAACAAAGACAACGTTTGTATCTCATACGAAGATCATTGTAGGCTGACCTATTCTCATCAGTGTTAGACTTCCGTAACCTTTCCTCAGAACGGCGAAGTCGTCTTTTCAGCGAATTTGCCTCGTCATTGAACCAAGGTAGCGATTTTCTAACAGTGGTTGTTTTCTCAATAACAGGAGCATACTTGTTCAAGACAGTAAGTAGTCGTGTATTGTAGTGATTTGCCAGACTGTCGATATCATCGATATCCATGTATGATTGAACCACTTGAGACAAAGCCTCATCAAATTATTTAGCCTTCTGAACTTTTTGTTTTGGCGTGTACATTTCGGTTTAGGTCTTGATAATTTAGTCTCAATAAAACAATGGTCACTGATGAAGTAATTTGAAGATGGTTTGGCAATACAGAGAGTGTCCCTACCTCTGGTTATTATCAAATCTAAAGTATTTCCCGAACGATGTGTGGGGCATAACACATGTTGATCAAGATTTAAACACTGTAGTACATCTTTGAATTTTATTGTGTCCGGGTCATTGTCATTGTTCATATGAATATTGAAGTCACCAGAAAATATTACAGAATTGTGTAACAATAGAATATCTGTAGCATATTCTGCGAATTCGTCAAAGAATGTGGCTGTACTAATGTGTATAATAGTGGAGTACGGCGGACGATAGATGACAACGATGGTTGTGTGGAGAGTTGTTTCTACAAATTTCCATTCAGAAAATTTAAAAGACGATTTCGCGCCGGAATTAAGTTTTTTGACAGTTAAATTATCCTTGAATAGTATCTCTGTTCCTCCTTCGCGTCTATCAGTTCGATGTTCATCAAGAAATGTGTAGCCACGTGCATTGAGTTCTGCCCTGTGTACATTATCATTCTCAAATAACCACGTTTCCGTGACCGTACAAATTTCGTAATCGTTCATTGTGAAGTGGTGCATAAATTCACCGATCTTGTTTCGAATGGACTGTGTATTTACAGTAGCGAAAAACAGTTTTGAATCCTGGGAGTAATCCGTTATAAAACGTAAGAGAGGCCTAAGATTTTCAAGGTGTACGCCGTTAACTCTGATCCGATTATTGGTCCTCCGTCGGCCAGCCCGCTTACCTCTATACTGTTTTTAAATTCCAATGTCCTTAATCCTAGCCCATATCTCTGATGGAATGCTGGGAATGGGCATGCTTTGCCTGATTGATTTCAAGTCAGATGCACAGTACTGTATAGTGACGGACTCACGTAACTGACCATTACATGCCTGTACATTTGTGTTACTCATATTGACAATAAAAACACTAAAACTAACCAAATTGTGACTAGTAGGCCTACAGTGAAATTACCGTTCCTGCTTGATCTCAATAACAGTTTGGTCATTATATCCAAATTTCACAATCTTCCAAATACGTTAGATGACTGCAATTTACAAAATTGAGAGAGAGCGAGTTGTTGTTGCTGCCAACACAATCCGGCGCAATATATAATCTTCTGAAGTCTAAAAGACATATCAAAAAGTCAGGAAAGCTCATTTCCCGCCATCTAGAAATCAACATTTTCCCTGGGAAAACCCGAACCCGCCTTTCTCTTTGGGGTTCATTGATTCATGAAATCGTTTTCAAGAGGGGAAAACCTTAAATTTTGAATAACTTAAAAGTCATTAAAAGACACCACAGAATTCGGGAAAGCTCATTTCCCATCATTCAGGAATCAAAATTTTCCCGGGGGAGGAGCCCCGGATTATCCGCCTTTCTATTTGGGATTTATCGATTTATGTGATAAGAATACGTATGCACTTACTCAATTTTTTTTATGTATGTGTACACATAAAAAGCCTATTTACTGTAATAAGAATGAAAAGGATTTACCTGACCGTTTTGAAGAGGGGAAAACATTGAATTTTGAACAACTTAAAAATCGTTAAAAAAACACTTCAGAAGTCGGGAAAGCTCATTTTCCGCCTTTTAGAAATCAACATTTTCCCGGGGAAAATCCGAACTATCCTTTCTATTTGAGGTTCATTGATTCATGGAATCGTTCTGAAGAGGAAAAAACCTTGAGTTTTAAAGAAATTGAAAGTCATATAAAGACACCTCAGAAGTCGTTTTCAAGAAGTGGAAAACCTTAAGTTTTGAAGGACTTTAAAGTCCTTAAGTCATTAAAAGACACCTAGCTCTAAGTCAGAAAGTTTATTTCGCGCCATCTAGGAATCAAAATTTTCCCGAGGAAGAATCTCCCTCACCCCCCCCCCCCACCTTTATTTTTTGGGATTTAGGAAAACCTTTGGCCCCACCCCCTAAATTTGAACCCATTCATATTCCCATTCATCTTACTAGTCCTCCCTCCCTTTGAAAAACGTCCGCTGACCCTGATTTTCCTCAT